TAGGAATGACCTACATGAGAGAAACCAACTCGAGAACAAAATGTTTTAATGTGTTCATTTTTAGTTTGAACCATGTCCAATCTACTAACATGGAGGAGCCAGCCACCAGAGGGCGACCCAGGTGATTTGGCTTTACGTCATGACGTCTGTTTTCATCTACAGTCGATGCTCTACACAGTGTTAGCCTGTTCCTAATAATTAGTGTGTTCATTGTTTTTTTAGCTAGATATCGAAACTGCTGTTATGCTCTGATCACATTTCATTGTTCTGGCAAACAGCGTTACGTATAATTTGATGCACGTTGCTTATTTCTTCGTGTCTGTTTGAGTTTTCTGAAGTTGCAGCGTGTTGAGCTCAGGGCGACTGTAACTGAAGTGAAAGAGAAGGTGAATCCTCGCTAGACGAGACATTGCTCGCTGATTTTCATATACCTCATTTTTTCGACTCTTTGAATAGTGACTTCAATATATCTTTGATTTTATCTGCAGTGTGTGTTTTTTTATTGTGAGTGTGATTTTAATGTTGAAATATACAGGAGGAACCTGAGAGGAGCTTCTGTAACACAAGGCACAAAGCTTGAAAAGTAATAATGTAGAACATGCTCTGGAGTTTCTTTACCAAACAGTGGACGAGTGAGGCTCAAATGCTATGAGGAGAGAGAGACGGACTGACTGACCTGGATTTATTTACCCAGGAATTTATGTCATTGAATCATTTCCCATTTTCTACACTTCAAGTTTCCACTTCTCTACAAACACATCTTCCCTCTGCAGTCCACATCTAACCTGAGCCTATTTCCTCACGTTGTAAACCTTAAACTCTCGTGTCCGGTTTGACGTGATCAGATTCAGGTATTGAAATAATACACTGGATGTCGATGTGTTCACTTTAAAATTTGAAGTGATTGCGTTGACTGTTTATATCTCAATTAACTCATATAATTATTAATAAATAAGCAGATGAAGAAGAGGGAGAGAGAGAGCAGCTCAGCCATTGTTATAAAGATGGACTTCATGACCGCTGCCGTCCCGACACCACAACAGTTATTTGTCACTGTGTCTTTCCATTAATCTTAGTTAAGACATAGTTAAGATGCCACCGGGGAAAGTCCTCCGCTGTGGCATGGGAGAAGCTGCAGAGCGATGTCGCTGGTTTCACTTTTCTCACTTTTCTAAACCCATTTAAGTTAAAAAAAAAAAAAAAAAAATGCTGTCAACTGGACAAGTGGGTCATCACATACAAATGGCTGAAGTGATGGAACGCTGGGTCGACTGCAGCCGAGACACGATCGCCCTGCAGCGGCCGACCACAAACTAGAAGAGGATTTGGAGCCAGAGGACAATATAAAGTGATTTTTAGGAATAACACACATCACTTCTTGGATTAAACACACAATTATTCACTGGACTTACATTTCAATAAACACCAGACAAAATGGGGGTGTTCTTTAACCAATGGCGTAACAATTTGTTCTGTTTCTACTGAAAGTGATGTGACCAGGACACATTCATTACTTGCTCCTGCTCAGATGAGGCCAAACAAAAGAAAAACAAGCAGTTCCCTCCCAAAGAGAAATTGACGAGCCTTAAACTTGACAACAGCCGGAAAAAAGGAGGTAAAACAAAAAAAGATCTTCTGTCTTTTAAACAAAACCTTAGATATGTTTTTGAGGATTTTTTTAGTGCTGAAAGTATTTATTCTATACTGTAATAAAGAGCCAAAGTTTATGTGAGAATCAAAGAGGACCCGGTTAGCGTGTCCAGAAAATAACAATTTAATAGTTCTGCAAATATACAGTTTAATTCTCAGCTGAGAAAGTAAAGTGTTTTTATCTGGACTCTGCATCAAAAGTAAAAAGAAGACTACTTTCTACTACTTCCTGCTCTTGTTGGTGATGTGGTTCACGCACAATAAAACACTTTGTGACCAGCAGCATATTAAGAGGATGTTTCTACCCGAGCATCAGGAACACGATTTATAAAAACTGAACCAGACCTCATACAAACCTAAAACTCTGGCCGTCTGGATGCGCGCACACACACACACACACACACACACACACACACACACACACACACACACACACACACACACACACACACACAC